TGGAGCAGGGGCCAAAAGACCATGTTTCCCTATCAACCTGTTGACAAAACCAGGAGTTAAAACCCCTCTGAATAATAAATTACAACAAGCACTGTTAGGCACTTGTATAGACCTTATTATCACCAGACCTCGAGTCACTTCGGCGTGATCTCTGGTGTGCAGAGAAGACAACGAGATCTTATTTACGAGATTGCACCACCCTGCAGAAGGCCAAGTCAGGAAGAGAAATTACAGCCTCTAGATTTGCACTAAAATGGTAAAACTCTGCAGGAGAGCAAGATTTCAATCCCAACCCACTGCATCACCCCCAGGCTTAGCAGGAGGCACTGTGAGAGGGGGGAAACCGCAGCGACGATTCCCACCTCCCATCTTGAGCAAGCAGAAATCAACCCCCTCAGTGTAGAAAAGTGTCATTTAGCACTTAGCCATAAGAAAAATTTGTCATAAGAAAGAGGCACTGGCACATACAGATGCTCTCCGGGCCTTCAGGATTTTCCTGTTCCCCACCTCCATCCCTGGAGGAGGATGCTGGCTGCACCGCCGAATGCTCATCCCCATCTCCCAAAAAAAGTCTGACCCCTCGGAGTCCTTTTGAGCAAGAAAAGGTCGCAAGGCTGCTCCCTAAAAGCATCGGTAATGAAACACCAGCTGCACTGGAGAATAACTGGGCAGCACGCAGGAGTTTGTGAGCAATTTTAGGGGCACTGAGGGAAGCAGGGGGTAAAGGAAAAGAGGTGATTGGGGTGGTTTCCCAAGGCAGGGGCGACCTGGAGGCTGCATGCCGGCTGGCGTGGGACAGCCTGGCACGACTACGTAGGAGGCTGTCAGACTTTGCAAACTCTTTGATACATCTGCGGGTCTTCCCTCAGGGGGTCAACATGAGACTTGGGTAAAAACATGGAGCTTTTAAGAATTTTAATTAGGTTTTTATTACTTCTTAATTGTTCCTTTCTTTAATAAAAGCACCTTATTAAAAGAAACTGCTGTGACTCCAAGATTCCTTGGATAGGCGAATACTGCATTTCTCCCATGGGCGGAGGGTGGGAAGAATCAACTAAAACTGTAACTCCGAAGCGGAAAAAGGAGCATTCCTGTGTTATTATCTCCACCAACACCAGCTCTGGAGCTGGACCAAGCCTGGTACCCAGGTACCTGCAACGTGCTGCAAGAAGGTGCCCCTTGTTTTGCAAGAAGTTGCAGCCATTCATTACAAACCCAGCTCCAACCCCAAGCCTGGTGGGAACTCAGGGCTTTAGCAACAACCTTGCGGAAACCGCTGCAACGGCGAGCCGGTGTAAAGCAGGAGGTCTGCAAACATCACTAAGGAGCTGTGAGAAAAGTCAGGATGGAGCCAAATTAATTACTGCCTCTGCAAACCTGGAAGCCAAAATGCAAGTGCCTAAAGAAACGACAGCTGGAGCTACTGTTGCTCTCCAGAGTGGCCAGAACAAGCACCTGAATTTATAAGACTGTGGGGTTATTGGAAAACTATGGAAAGCAGCGCCTGGCCCTCAGCCCAGACTGCAAGGGGCTTAAAAATGCAGCTGGAATTAGCTTTCTGCAACAGCAGCAGGCCCAAGATGAGGAATGTATTATCCTCAACGAGATGTGCCTTGGGTCTGGCCTCCTTTCACCATGTGCCATGGGGCTTTCTGAAAATTAAAAGGGTTTTCCCACGATGGAAAAGGCAGGTTGTGCATCCCAGTGCATCAAGTTCCTGCACATCTCTCTGCTCTCTTTTGTATCATCAGACACATTTGCTGGGAGGAGGAGAAGGAGCTGTCAGGGTTTTCCTCATTTCACCCACTGGGACAGCCCAGACAAGGCTGCCTGCATGCAAGGAGCTCTGCAGAGAGAAGAGGGTGAGCAGGAGAACAGCATGTCAGCGGTCACCTTTGGGTCTGCTCTGTGACCAGCTCAGGCACACCCCGCAGAAGAGACCTCTTGCTGGGAGTAGCATTACATGAGGCAAAAGACGTTCACCCATCACTGAGCTCTCTCACCTTCTGGCTGAGCACCCCAGAACTACAAACACAAATTATTCATTGCAACTGTACATGCTTCCAGCGCAGAATTCTCCCTTAAAACGTCTACCCCAGAAATATATCAAGAGTAGGGCACAAGGCCATAAGCAAATACACGGATTCAAAAAGTCCTTCGGAGTACAGGATCCAGCTGTAAACAGGAGATTTCAAACCTACTTGGGCATGTTGCTTTTTGACAGAGCCGTTTTTTAAGATGTCCCTGCACACAGCTGTCCCAAGTCCCAGAGGCAGAACCTTAGCTACTAACACCGGGCACAAGACCTTCGCCCCAGCTGCCTTCTGCTCTGAGGATCATAGTGTCTCCATCTCTTCCCTCTGACTGCACAAAACATCCATGATGGATTTAACTAGCAATTTATGTCAGTACGCAGCAGCTAGTGAGACCCCTGAATCCTCACTGTAGTGTGAGCCTCAGCAGAAGACCCTTTTCTCTCTGTCTAGGTTCTTTACAGCTTGACACCATTGCAGATGTCCCCAGACTCCCTAAGAGCCTCTTTTCCAAAAAGCTTCAAGAATAATGCTCCGAGTAATGCTCACTTTCTGTGCCATGAAGCTGGCACACGCCACAGGTTTCAGCTCAGGAGCCAGCATGGGACAGCTCGACCGAGCGCATTTGGGAATTGAAATTGTTCACACTGTGATGGGATGCAAGCAGACACAGTGGCAACTGGGAAAGTCACCATCGGATGTGACAAGGCAAAGAGAGGAGCAAAACACTAAGGAGAGCTGCACCCTGGACATGGGCACCTGCATTGGGAAGAGCTGGGGAACAAATTCCTAATACCATGGCAGCCAGAAATGCCGTCCCCTTCCCAGGCTGGGGCACGCAGGCGCCAGAGGCCAGTGCTCGGCTGGGCAAACACAGATGTAGGAGCTGAATGGGAGCACAGTCAGCCCGAACTATTTTTAACTGGTGCAGAGGAAGCTTTTACTTTTCATTACAAAGGGGAGACAAAGTGTCTGTCAGTTGCGCTGAATTTATTCACCCGACGGGTGGGTGTTGAAGTATGTAAAGCCCCCAGCCCCGGTCTGTGTGACCAGCAGCTCTAATCCCCCCCTAATCTGCTCACAGCTGCGCGGGGTCAAAGAGCGCAACAGCTGAAATGCACTTCTGATACATATGCTTTCAGTTGCCCCAACTTACCCTGGGGGTTTCTGCCTTGTGATTTCCATTAAAGCTAACCGGCGAGAGTTACTGTTGGCATAAATGAGCACAAACCCATCAAGATCCCCTATATTTAGCTCAACGTGGCTAAATAAACACTGCAGAGGCATCACAAGCAGACACTGGGAGTTGGATCTGGTGGTCCCCCAATGCCACTTTGCTCCCCTGGAGCAAAATCTGTGGATTTGGCAGCGGCAGTGCCTTTACATGCCAAATACATTGCTTGGGGCACTGGGGAACCTGCAGGCTGGCAGGGAGGAGGCAGGGCTGGGACTAGGGCTCTACGCCTCCCCCTTCTTGCCCAGCCAGGCTTACGGCTCTGCGATCTAATTGTAAGATAAATAATTTTCTCTTAAATACCAATTCC